GAAGAATTTATTAGGTGAAGCGAAAGAAGAGGAATGGTGTTTCAGGTAGAGGGCCCAGCAAGAGTAACGGCGTGGAGATGAGAAGGAGTGGCAGGTAATCTGGTAGTGCTTGGTGCTGGGGACGGGGAGGGCATCAGGCCATCCTGGGAAGATCTTAGAGACTGTCGGAGGGCCACAGGGATGGGGCAATTGGGGCCCCAGAGAGACATCTCTCTGGTTTCGGTTAATAAAGCCACGTTGTGCATCAAAAACTGTGAGATCAGCGATAATTAAGTCAATTAAAATGTCACTTACCACATTAACAGCAGTGAGTTTTAAAGCAACAAAACCCCTGAGTTTGGTGGGGGAGGGGCATTCCAAAAGCAGGAGTTGGGATGCATGAAATTCCCTCTGAACTCTGTTCCCCCTTTCCCACCTGGAGCTTGTGACACTCTGGAGCCTGGTTTCATCCTCATATCCAGCGAAAGACATGGATACCTCCCCCCAGCCCCTACCCGTCCCCCCCAAAAAAGAAAGAAAGAAATAATATAAATGTGAAAATCACCTGTAATCCCATTTGCTATCTCCCAGAGATAACCTCTGTTAACATTTCAGGGTATAACCTTCCAGACTTTTTTCTATGCATATTTATACATACATTACAAAAATGGGATCATATCATGCATACTGCTTTGTTACCTATTTCCCTCACTCAATGGTATATTGTGAACATCAGCACATACAGATACACATCATTGTTTTAAATTGTGGTGCCGTATTCCACTGTGGGAATACCTGTCCCCTCATTTGCTAAACTAATCCTCTCTCGATGGACAGTTAGGTTTTCAATTGTTTGCCATCACAGGCACTGCTGTGATAAATATGTGCATACACATATCTCTGCATACTTGAAGGGTACATTTCTAGAAATGGAATTGTTGGGTCAAAGACGAGGTACTCTCTAAAAGATTTTGATATAAGGAGTAAATAGCTCTTCTGCCATCAAGTAGGAGAAGGACCATCTCCCATTTCCCTAGATAACCCCGTGTAATAATTTTTCTTTATATTTGCTGATTTGATTGGTAAACAATGACCCCCCTTCCTTCCTTCCTTCCTTCCTTCCTTCCTTCCTTCCTTCCGTTCCATTGCTCACTCCCTCCCTCCTTCCCTCCCTCCCTCCCTCTCTCCCCCACCCTCTTTCTTTCTTTCTCTCTTTCTTTTCTTTCTTGACATAGTTTCACTCTGTTGCCCAGGCTGGACGGCGGTGACATGATCTCGGGTCACTGCAACCTCCACCTCCCGGGTTCAAGTGATTCTCCTGCCCCAGCCTCCCGAGTAGCTGGGATTACAGGCGTGGGCCACCACACCTGGCTAATATTTTGTATTTATTAGTAGAGGCGGGGTTTCACCATATTGGCCAGGCTGGTCTTGAACACTGACCTTAAGTGATCTCAAAGTGCTGGGATTATAGGCGTAAGCCACTGCACCCAGCCTTTTTCTTTCTTTGGTTGTAAATAAGGCTGAGCTTTTTGTTATGTCTGTTGGCTATTTGTATTTCTTCTTTAATGAGTTGGTTCTTCATTTACTTAGCCTATCTTTTACTAAGGTGACCATCTTTTTATTTATTTATTCATTTAGATATGGGGTCTTGCTATGTTGCCCAGGCTGAATTCAAACTCCTGGGCTTAAGTGATCCCCTCACTTTAGCCTCCTGAGTAGCTGGGACTACAGGTGTGTGCTACCACACTCAGCTTTATTTTTTTATTCCTAACTAAGAGTTCTTTGTATATTATGGATATAGCCTTTTATTTGATTTGTGCTATTTATTTTTTATGAATTCCTCTACATCACATACAGTATATAACAGATATTTTTCCAAATTTGTTGTTTACCTTTTAGCTTTGTTTATGGTATATTCTGTTATACTGAGGTGTAAAGTCTTCATCTCACCATGTCTATTACTCTTTTCTCTTAGCTTTCTGCCTTGAGGTTGTCATGGTGTGTGGAGTGGGCTTCTGCAAGGGAATGTCATTGGAGGAAGTTCATGTGTGAATGCTGACTCAGAAATCTGTAAATCTAGCCCTCAGCTCCAGACTCCTATATCCAACAGCCAATTCAACATATGCTTACTTGGAAGTTGAATTCGTATGTCAGTCATTCTTGCCATGTCCCCTAAAACCTTGGTTTCCATTCTCTCCCTCCCCAGATCTGCTTCTCCAACTCAATGCTCTTCATTTAGGAAAAGACCCATCTTCACTCAGCTGTTCAGGATGGAAACTTGAGTTATCCTATTTTCTTTATTGCCCTCTTTTCCTCACATCTTATAACTAAGCTATCAGCAATCATGCTGATTCTACCTTCAAACTACCAGAATCTGACCATTTTCGGCACCTCCTCCCACTCTAGTGAAGGCAGCATGGTCACTAGCCTGGACTTCTGTGGTGTCCTAGTGGCCTGGTCTCTCCGCTTTTCTTCTTGCATCTCTGCAGTTTGTTCTCTATATAGCAGGCAAAATGAGCTTTTAAAAACAAATCATAGGCCAGGTGTGGTGGTTCATGCCTGTAATTCCAGCACTTTGGGAGGCCAAGGCAGGAGGATTGCTTGAGCCCAGGAGTTTGAGACCAGCCTGGGCAACATAGTGAGACCCTGTCTCTAAAAATAAATAAATAAATAAATAAATAAATAAATAAATAATCCCAGCATGATGGTGCACACCTGTAGTCCCAGCACACCCAGGAGGCTGAGATGGGAGAATTGCCTGAGCCCCAGAGACTGAGGCTGTGGTGAGCCAAGATTGCACCACTGCACTTCAGTCTGGGAGACACAGCGAGACTGTGTCTCAGAAATAAACAAAACAAAACAAAAAAACCCAGATTATATTATGTTACTCCCCTCAAGACCCTCCAGGGGCTTCCCATCACACTCAGGATAAAATCCAGATGGGATTTCCATTGGGCCGTGGGATTGCAATGGGCCGTGGAGCCCTCTGGCTAGCGACCCCTCTCCCTCCAACCTCGTCTCCTTCATCTGCTCCCTCCGTCTGTGCTCCAGCCACGCTGGTTTTCTTGCTGTTCTACACACACAAGCTTGTCCATGCCTCAGGGCCTTTGTCCTTGCTGTTCCTTGTGCCTGGAAAGCCTTTCCTGAGATCTCCACATGGCTGACTTCAAGTTTCTGCTCAAATGTCGGAGAGCCCTTTCCTGACCACGTGTTCTAAAACAATCTCTCCTTTCCCTCTTGTCTTTCTCCTCCTCCGCCTTATTTTTCTTCAGAGTCTGTATTCCAGTCTGACATTAGTACATATATTTTTATTCATTGTTATACATCCCCCTATCCAGGAATGTAAATTCCACGAAGTTAGGGACTTTGCTATTTAATAAGTGGGTGCTTAAAAAATATGTGTTGGATGAATATGTGTAATATACGAATGGATGTGTGTGAGTGTAATGTTTGTGTGTAGATGTCTCTGCTGCATGAATAGATATCTGTGAGCATGTCTGTGCGTGGAACTGTGGGAAAAGACATTCAGTTTGTGTCTGTGAATAGGGAGGCTTCTGTGAATGCCTTGCCAAGAATGTCTGCGTACGTGTATTTTTGCACGAAACATGCGTGTGCTTGCCTGCAACTGTGTGTGTTTGTGTGTATGCTGTGGATATTTGATTATGTATAACCTGTGTCTGTTTCAGTGAGGAGGTGAGATACCTGCATATGTCTTCCTTTTATCAAATGGACCTGCCATTGCCCCAGCCTTCCCTTTTCACCTCTTACACTTGGGAAATAGGAAACACTTTTGTGTTTTGGGGAGACTCCAGATGTGGAGTCAATTCCAAAAATGACATTTCACACCGCTGCAGGTGGGTAAGGGTCTGGATGGGACCTTGGCAGCCTCTTGCTGGAGCCATCTCAGTAGGATGGATGTCTTCTCTGATGAATGGAATATTTCCTTGGAACAATTGGCCATGACAGAATAAGGTTGCAGAAATGTGGAGTGGGGCAGGCCCCCGACTGGCTGTGTGGCTTTGACTTGTCACTGTTCTTTCTCTGAGCCTCAGTAGACTCTACTGCAGTTGGGGCTCATCCTTCTTGGCCTGCTTGCTTCTTGGTGAGAATATAGTGAGAATAAAGGGAGGTAATGGCGGTGAATGTATGACAGTCATAACAACACATAACAACAGTATTCTTACGTTTGTGCAGGACCTTAGGGTTTATCATTTCTTTCTTTTTTTTTTTTTTTTGGAGACAAGGTCTCGCTCTGTTGCCCAGGCTAGAGTGCAGTGGTGCGATCTCAGCTGCCTGCAACCTCCGCCTCCCAGGTTCAAGCGATTCTCCTGCCTCAGCCTCCCAAGTAGCTGGAATTACAGGAATGTGCCACCATGCCCAGCTAATTTTTGTATTTTTAGTAGAGATGAGGTTTCGCCATGTTGGCCAGGCTGGTCTTGAACTCCTGACCTCAGGTGATCCGCCCACCTCGGCCTCCCAAAGTGTTGGGATTACAAGCATGAGCCACTACGCCCAGCCCTGGGTTTATCTCATTTCAAAGCAAATGCCTCAGTGGGGAATCTAGCTCTGGTCTTGGCCCCAAGCGGGCCTCAATGGGTATTGGTTGAATAACTGATAAGTGTGTGAGTGAATCAATGAAGGTAAAAATGAGTAAGTGCCTGAGTAATTGAAAGAAGAGATGATTGCATGAAGTAGCAAATGAATTTGTAAATCACAATGACTAACACTTTTGAGCACATACTATGATCCAGTCCTTTGTAAAGGCTTCTCTGAATCCTTGCAGCAACCCTATGAGATAGGTACTATCATTAACCCCATGTTGCAGATAGAGAAACTGTGGGTCAGAGAAGTTAAGTGACATGCCCAAAGCCACAAAGCTCCTGAGTGGTGGAGCTGAGGTTTCAGCCTGCCCTGGACAGTCTGACTCTAGAGCCCAGAGCCCTAAACCCACACTGGCCCTGCTGAGTGAATCAGTGAATGAGTGAGTGAATGAAGGAGTGGATGCAGGAACCCCCCACATGGTAAGCCAGGGGCAAGACAGGCTCCTTTCCGATGGAGAGAGCTTCTGACCCATCAGAAGGTGGGCATCCAGGGTCTGGACTGGGGGTGGGTCTCCCTGAGGGCAGAGTCTGAAAGGCCTGCCTCACGTCCCCTCTCCCTCTTCCATCTGTAGGCGAATGCCGCCATGCAGCACTACGGGGTGAACGGCTATTCGCTGCACGCCATGAACTCACTCAGCGCCATGTACAACCTGCACCAGCAGGCAGCCCAGCAGGCCCAGCACGCCCCCGACTACCGGCCTTCGGTGCATGCACTTACATTGGCTGAGCGCCTGGCTGGTAAGAGCCCTGGGGACTGGACTGTGGGGACAGGACTGTGGGGGTCGGGGGAGGAGGCTCTGGAAGGCAAAGAGGAGAGAGAGCACTGGCCAAGCTTGTTCTAGGCAGCTCAAAAAGACTCAGGTCACTTAGCAACACAGAGAGATGTCAATTCAAAACTATGTGTGTATATCCAGAGCACCTTTTGTTTGCCAGCTCTGTTCAGGGCGCTGGAGCTGCCCTACGCTTTCAAATTCTCGTAACAGGCCTGTGAGGGAGGCATTCATTAGTCCTATCTCACAGAAGAAGAAATGAGGTAGGAGGGTAAGGGACTAGTCCAGAGTATTATGGCTGGGAAGTAGCTGGAAGAGCCTGGAATGCTCAGGCAAGGAGAGTTCAGGCACAGGGATTGTAAATAACAGCTTCTATGTTCTGACATCAACTGTGAGTTAGGCACTGTGGGAGTCTCTCTCTTTCTGTGTGCATCAAATCATCCAATCCTCACGTGAAGAGGTTACTATTTACATTTTATGGACAAGGAAACAGAGACTCAGAGAGGCTAAATCTGGGCCAAGTGATGGAACAGAACATGGCTAAAAATATGAGCTTTGGAGTTCTAGACTTGAAATCAGCATGGGACTTTCCCACTCAGCTCTCTTCTCTGAGCCTCAGTTTCTCTTTTTATAAAAAGGAGAAAATGGCCATGCCCATCCCCTAGGGTGGTTGGGAGGTGATTTGTGATAACATATGCAAAGTATTCAGCAGAGCCTGGTAGGTGCTCAGAGATCATTATTACCCAAAGCCTAAGGTAAGTACCCATATATGCCTATGAGGGACCGGCAACCTGGTCCCCCCACACCTGGTTCTACTGACTGTTGCCCTGCCCTGCCAGCCTCTCGGTGGGTGAGAAAAGGATTCAGTGACATAGATGAGGAGTTTGATTTCCTGGGAAGTGGTGCCACCCAACCCATCCTGTCCCAGGCCCAGCCTTGAGCAGCTGGTAAACCCATATGGGCCTAGCCCTGTGCCAGGCAGGCCTCAGAAAACTTCAGGGAACTCCTAGGGAGAACGGGTGCCCATGACCCATGAGAGGGCACAACAGGAGGGTGTCCAGGGTCAAATGCTGGGGCAGCTCAGAGCAGCAGGATCAGCTGGGGTAGTCAGGGAGAGCTTTCTGAAGGCCACAGGGGCAGGAACCAGGCCTCAAAAAGGCCAACATGAGCAAAGGCACAGAAATGGGATGGGATCTCCACCTGGGTAGCAGCACTGGCCTGGCAGGGAGGGCATGGCCAGTCTTACTCCTTTAGACCCTGCCAGGCCTCTGGGCAGAACTCAGTGGATAAGTTTCTCCCGACCGGTGTGGAGGCATTAGTTTCTAGTGTGGGGATGTTGGATACAGTCCTGTGCACAACCTCATGGTGACATCAGCTCCTGACAGTATTCCAGGACCCAAGGACCAGAGCACAGAGAGGAGTCAGGGACAGGGGCTCATGTCCGCTGGTGGAAGCAGAGGAACTGGGGTGTTCAGCCCACCCCCAACTCTCTAATTCTTAAGAAGGAAGGACATGAACTGCAGGTGAGCCTTTGTATGGAGGCCTTGCCTTCCAGCAGAGGCTCTGCCTACAGCTTAGAGAGCCTGGCTTCCCTGTGACACCTATACTGCCCCCACTACCCCCGCCACCCTTGCAGTCCCTGGAGCCAGCAGTAGGATGCTGAGTTGTTGCTCCTCCCCCAACCAGGGTGGGGCTGACAGAGCGGTCCCCACTCCTTCCCCTGCCCCAGGTTGACCAGCATGAGCTCAGGGCTGAGTCAGGCCTAGGATTAAGGTCAGTCTGAGAGGGGTTCAGGACTCCCTTTTTAAACTGAAGAAGAAGTATCTCAAAGTCTGGGGCTTCCTGGATACCCAGTTGCCTCTTCCTTTTTTTTTTTTTTTTTTTAATCTTTTTGGGATGGAGCTTCGATCTTGTTGCCCAGGCTGGAGTGCAATGGTGCCATCTTGGATCACTGCAACCTCCACCTCCCGGGTTCAAGCGATTCTCCTGCCTCAGCCTCCCAAGTAGCTGGGATTACAGGGGCCCACGACCACGCCCAGCTAATTTTTTGTATTTTTGGTAGAAAGACAGTGTTTCACCATGTTGGCCAGGCTGGTCTTGAACTCCTGACCTCAGGTGATCCACCTGCCCAAAGTGCTGGGATTATAGGCGTGAGCCACTGTGCCGGCTGCCTCTTCCTATTTAGGATGTTGTGGATGACTTCTCATTCCTTGGAGGGCAAGGGAAGGACTCTGGCATCCCTTTGCAGAGGCTGAGATTACTCAAGTTCCCTTCAGCACAGACAGAGCAGGATCCACTTATGACATGATGGGAGGCAGTGAGGAGAGGGGTTACCGTCTATCTTCCAGGGGCTAGTCAAGCGAAAGGGCTGAAGGCTAGACCCCAGGATGGAAGCTAGACCCTGGCCCTAGGCAGACACCTATCCTGGGTGGTTATCATGTTACCAGACATATGGACAGGACGATGGAATCAATGGTCCATAGTCCTGTCTCCCCTCCAAGCCCACAGTGGTTGGAACCTGGTCTCTTTGTCCTTCTGTCTTTGGGGAGGCAGCCACAAGGGTCAAGACTGAGGGCAACAAGCCTTACCTGAGATGTGACCCCTGACGCCCCCACCCTCCCTGCTCTGCTCTTATCCCCTAGCCAAGCTCTCTGTTCAGGAAACAGAAGAGCAGGAGCCTCAGCCCCTGCCATCAGAGACTCTAGGCCAGTTGGGATGAGGGGGTTTACAAGCAGAGGACAGAGAATCAAGTGCTGGTGAATTCTGTCTGCCTAGTCAGTCCTCCCTTGACTAGACCTTGAGATGGGTACCAGCCCAGCCTGGCTTCTCATAGGCAGGGACCAGCACTCTGATGCTAAAGAAGTCTTAGTATTCAGAATCTAAGGGATATAGGGTCTTAGAACTCTTGTGATATGGACTTACAGATTATTAGCATCATGGAGTCTCAAAATACACTCATAGTATCCATCTTAGGGCAATACCCACCTACCCACTCCCAATGCCAAATAACGAAGACCCCCCTCAATCATGCCTGACAGCCATTTGTGGAGTTGAGTTAGACCTCTGTGGTCCTGAGAGTGCATAATGGGGTGGAGAGACCTTGAAAGCCCACAGCCATATGAGAGGGGATGGGTGATTCCTAAGGGCAAGGGACCAGGGCCAGCTCTGGCAGCAGCCTGGGTGTCCACAGTGGGTCAGAGCAGGATAAGATTCAAAGCTATTTCCCATAATTAAATGGGCCCCCTCTCCTTGCCCTCCAACGGCTGTACATTTCAAGATATCATCTTGGAGGCCCGTTATGGTTCCCAGCACCGCAAACAACGTCGCAGCCGCACAGCGTTCACAGCTCAGCAGCTCGAGGCCCTGGAAAAGACCTTCCAGAAGACTCACTACCCAGATGTGGTGATGCGTGAGAGGCTGGCCATGTGCACCAACCTGCCTGAGGCCCGGGTGCAGGTAAGGCCCAACTCTCCTAACTAGGCCTTGCAGACAAACACCAGCCCATCAGTCTGGCCCCTTGTCCAGGAGCCAGCATGTCATCCCTGTGCCAAGGTGCAACTGATCTCTGCATCAAAGCCTTCAGTGATAGGAGGGGAGTTTGGGAAGGGACGGAGGGTGTGCGTTCCCTAGAGGGGTGGGGGGATGTTATCACATACATCCTCTCCCAGAGCACCCTGCTCCACACCAACCCTCCTTCTTTCTTGCCCACCTTGGACTGCTCCTTTCCTGTCCTCAGGTGTGGTTCAAGAACCGCCGGGCCAAGTTCCGGAAGAAGCAGCGTAGCCTGCAGAAGGAACAGCTCCAGAAGCAGAAGGAGGCTGAGGGCTCCCATGGGGAAGACAAGGCAGAGGCCCCCACTCCGGATACCCAGCTAGACACTGACCAGCCCCCACACCTGCCTGGCAGCAACCCCCCTGCTGAGCTTCACCTGAGTCTGTCTGAGCAGTCAGCCAGTGAGTCAGCCCCCGAGGATCAGCTGGACCGTGAGGAGGACCCCCGGGCAGGGGCTGAGGACCCCAAAACTGAGAAGAGCCCTGGGGCTGAGAGCAAAGGGCTGGGCTGCAAGAGGGGCAGCCCCAAGGCAGGTGAGGTCTGAGGGATGCCATGGGAGGGCTGGGGTCTGGGGTCCCTGAGCATGTGAAGCCAGTCAGAGGCGAGTAATCAACTGCCCCTGAGGGGCATGGCCCATTAGAAGGGACTAACCACAGCAGGCCTGGGCCAGGTCTTCACCCTTTAGTTGCAGAGCCGTGGGAAGGTCCAGGGGGTTCTGAGGGACGGGCTGGGTAGCAGGGGAGGGATACGGCGGGAGCTCTGGGCAAAAATTATTTATCAGCCATTTGGAAGTATTCCAATATTTTACCAACCAATTGGATGTCCCGGTGCATACCGTATTAGTACCAGAGATTCCCACGTGCAGCAGAGACTCCAAGCACATTTCTGAAGGAACAGAGCTCTGGCATGAGGCATATCTCAAACACAAACCCTAAATCCAGCAGGGAGGGGACAGGGGCTGTGAGCTGAAAGCTGCAGTGAAGGAATGGGAGCTCTGGGCAGCGTGAGGGAGGGGGAAGTTACAGCCCTTGAAAAGAAAAAGAGAGACATGGGGGCCTTGGCAGGGTCCCCGGAGCTTTCCCAGGAAGCCTGGGTCCCTTTCTCCTAGGATTCTGAGCCTTGCTTCAGGGAATGCCCTGACTGAGATGCGATGGATGTGGTTTCAGCCGAAGCCTGTCTTGTCTGTAGTGCCAAGGGGGTGAGAAGGCTGAGTGCACCTCTCCTGGCAGACCAATGCCCTTGTCCTGAGGGCTTTGTTCTTGGGTTCTCTGCTTGCAGATTCCCCAGGCAGCCTGACCATCACTCCTGCGGCCCCAGGGGGTGGCCTCCTGGGCCCCTCCCACTCCTATTCCTCATCCCCGCTGAGCCTCTTCCGTCTGCAGGAGCAATTCCGCCAGCACATGGCGGCCACCAACAACCTGGTGCACTACTCATCCTTCGAAGTAGGGGGTCCAGCCCCTGCTGCTGCCGCGGCAGCTGCTGCTGTGCCCTACCTGGGCGTCAACATGGCCCCGCTGGGCTCACTGCACTGCCAGTCCTACTACCAGTCCCTGTCAGCAGCCGCTGCTGCCCACCAGGGTGTGTGGGGGTCCCCTCTGCTGCCTGCACCCCCAGCAGGCCTGGCTCCTGCTTCAGCTACCCTGAACAGTAAAACCACAAGCATCGAGAACCTGCGGCTCCGGGCCAAGCAGCACGCGGCCTCCCTGGGACTCGATACGCTGCCCAACTGACTGTCTGGCCTCCAACCCAGCCAGGGGTCTTAGGTGTCCCCTCCTAGCCCTGTGGTTATCCCTAGGTGGCTCTTGAGGAGTTAACTCCATGAGCACAGGGATCCTAGGGCCTGGTGTCCTGTTCCCTGCTCCGCTTCCCCATACCCCAGCCTGAGGCAAAGCCCACACCTACACACCCTCTGCATGGCCCTGCCTGGACCCCATGAAGGCCGAATAGGGAGGAGGTCAGGGGCTGGGGTGCCCCAAGCTTCCCTCGGGGAAGTGAGAGGCTCTCCCTGGCTAGACCCCCATCTCAATACCACCTCCTCCCTTTTCTTCCTCCCCTTCTGCCCCTTAGTAAGTCTATGTGTGGAATGTGAGATATAAATATAAATATATAAAGCTATATTTTCAGGCACCTGCCTGCCCCAAGCCCCCGCCCCACTCCCATCTCTTCTTCCCTGCCACCCCTCCCTGCAGCCTCCGTGGCTTACTCCAGCCATACCTTCTCTTTCTCCTCTCTCCTTCCTTCTTCCCTTGATCTCCCTCTTCCTGTCTCTGTCCTGGTCCCTGCCCCCGTCTCAGCCCAGCCTCTGTATTCTCCACCCTTGATCTTTCTCCCTGTCTCTCCTGCTGCCCCTGGTTTCTTCCTTTGGTGCTGGCTGTGTTGGTATCATCAGTTCTTGAGCTATATTTTGTTTGGGGTTGTGGCTGGTTTTGGTTTTAGTAATTTTGCTGCTTCCCGTTGCTCTCCTTCTATTCCCTCCCTCTGCCCTGCCTGCCTGTCTCCTCCCTGCACCTGCGGCCTCTCTGGGAAGCTGTTCCTTTCCATGCCAAATAGAAGCAACAAGGCCCTAGCTGGAGACCCTGGGGATCTGGAACTGCAGGCAGGAGGTAGCACTGGCTCCCACTCTCACCCTTGCCCAGCCTGGCATCTAGAAGGTGTCACGAATTACTTTCTCTTCTGTCTTCTCAGTTTTGATGTCCTCATCCCCAAGATCAAGGAGGCAGTAGTCAGGCTGGGAAGGCAGTAGAATGGCCGGCATTCCTGCCTGTAAGCCCTCCAAAGACAGAGGCCTGGTGTCAGAGTTCAGCCAGGACTGACCACAGGGCTCTAGAGCTCTCTTTGGTGAGACTCCCCTGGTTGGCGAGCGGCAGCAGGGGAAGAGGTGCTCTCAGAAACAGCAGGACTGGTGCTCCTCTCCCACAAGCCCAGCCTCCACATTCAGCAGGTACTGTGCATGGCAGGAGTACGGTGACCAGGTTGAACTCTGCTCCTGAGCACAGTGAGTGCAAAGCATTTAGCAACACATAGGCTCAGGCTTCTGTAGGCTTCCTGTCCCACAGCCGATTATGGAAGTAAGGGCTTCTCTCCAACTAGTCACTGGAATGGAAAACTGTTACTGTTCATAGCCAGGAAACCCAGCTCAGCAAACTCCCTTTCAAAGCTGTGTGACTGGCTGGGCGCAGTGGCTCACACCTGTAATCCCAGCACTTTGGGAGGCCGAGGCAGGCAATCACCTGAGGTCAGGAGTTCAAGCCCAGCCTGGCCAACATGTGAAACTACTAATAATACACAAATTAGCCGGGCCTGGTGGCACGTGCCTGTAATCCCAGCTACTTGGGAGGCTGAGGTGGGAGGATTGCTGGAACCTGGGAGGTGGAGGTTGTAGTAAGCTGAGATCATGCCACTGCCCTCCAGCCTGGGCAACAGAGTGAGACTCCATCTCAAAAAAAAAAAAAAAAAAAAGCTGTGTGACTTTGGGCAAGCATGTAGCCTCTCTGGGTCTGTTTCCCTGTCTGGGTTAGATGGCCTGTAAGGTCCTAGCCAGCTCTACATTCTGCATTTTTGCTCACAATCTTGCAGGACAGAAGGTTTTAGTTAAATTGACAACAACAGAAGGTTCTCACAAGCACAATGTATGAAGTAGGAAGTTACCATTGCCTTGCTGGGAGCAAGGGTGTTGTACACACAAACCTTTCTGTAGACACTGCCTCAGTTTCCCCATAAGCATAATGGGTCCCCTCTAGTTCAGACAATCTGGATTTGGTCTTGAGTTCCAGTGCCAGACTCTGGGGTCACCACATTTTCATACCTTTGCATGGTCTCAGGGCCTCTGGGCAGTGGGAGGGGATGGCTTAGACAGATTCTTGCTCATGCTCCCCAACTCTTGGTGGCTCACTATTGAACACTTAAACCCTGCTTAAAGAAGTTGATCTGAAAGCCAGGGTAAAGATTGCTAAGGCTTGTCTCCTCTCCCAGTGGGAAGAGAGAGGTTCTGTTGGTGTCCTGGTAGGATTGGTTTGCAGAGAAGTCAATGCTCATCACCCTTGAGGGGGTCAGCCTAGGTTGGGGCAGATGGAGAAGGCTTTGCACAGGAAAAAAAGGGAGGGAGATGGTAGTCCAGGCCAGGAGAACCGTTTGAACAAAGCAACAGAGATGAGACTCAGTAGACCATGGGAAGCGGGTGGCTGACTTCACGAGAGGTGGGCTAAGGGGCCTGGAATCCAGGTTAAAGACCTCACCTACATGTGGCAAGCACCAAGACAGGCAGTTGAGGGTTTGCAAATCCTCAGGTGTCTTGCTGGGGTCTGGAATTTGGAAGAGGAATCCACCAGCCATGAGGGCATCAGAGGAGAGACTTAGGCAGCGCTGTGGGAGGTTGGCAGATTCCAGGAGTGACAGAGGAGGTTTTTGGTTTGGGAGGGGTTCTGTGGCCAATGGCCCATCAACTGTCCTCTGGGATTAGTCCCAGGAAGTTCTGTTTCTAAAACAAAAAATAATCATCTGGATAGGTATGGGAAGCTTCCTAGCTGCTTTTAGGCCAAAGCTTTTTGTCAGTTCCTGGGTACAAGTGATTGTCACTAGGCCTTGGAATCCAACAGCCCTAGATATCACTGCCTCCTCCAGGAAGCCTCCCCTGACCTCCTAAGGGGTGATGTTCTGTCATGGCTGGAGGCAGGCCCACCTTTGGAGCAGCCCAGTTTCCCTCAGATGTTTGTTAACACTTGTCCCATTCAATTGACCCAAATCTACAAACCTAGAGAAGGCAGGGAAGGTACCTGCAGTCCCTGCCCTCAGAGGGATCTCAAGTTTAGGGCACCAGCCTTGGGTACTGAAAGCAGCTAGAGAGCAAGAGCAGAGCATACCTGTGTCTCCTCTGAGCACACTTGTAAGCAGCACCGTGCATCCCTTCTGGTGGGCAGAGGGTACAGGCCCACCACACCTGATGCTGGAGCCCCTCCCAGGCCTGCTGGGCCAACCTGGGCCTGAAAGCCAGAGGCTCAAGCTCTGATTGTCCCTTCCAGGAATGCCTCATGCCTGGCCTCTCCCTGCTGTCTGAGTCTCCCTTTCCCTGCTTCCTCACTCCCCCAGAGCATGGTCCAGGGGCCTGGGTCCCCACCCCAACTCCAAGGCTGATGGGCTCTACAGACTGCTTTCCAAACCGGCTCTTTTGTGACCATTTGTGCTTAGAGGTTGTGCCAGCCCATGGCAAAAACACTGTGTACTGTATTTATTTATTCTGCTAGTTGAAAATAACAAGACTTAATTCACCCCTGCCTGTCCCCTCGCCTGTCCCCTGTGTAGTGCAGCATGACACTCTGTGTATCTGTCCTTCTGTCAGTCTTATTCCCTGTGATGTTGTGACCTGTTCTTTGTCTTGGCGAATAAAAGAGAACCCAGCAGCTCAGACCTCAGTCCATGTTCATTCCCAGAGATGCCTGCAGTGGCCTGAGCAGGCAGTGTCTCCAGGTCTGTTCGCTGCCCCTCTGATGCCACGGCCAGTGGGGATGGAGGCGGACCTACCGCACTATTGGCCATTGTCACGCTGACTGTGTAGCTCTCTCTGTGACCCTTACTAATCTGCAGCCGGGATGCCACTCTGGAGTGGCTGCAGGGGGGCAGATAACGGGGGAGGGTTCCATCTTCTCTAGGCTGTTTGGACCTCACCCAAACACAAGTGGCAGAGTAACCTGGGACATGGGACACCCGGGACAAGCAGTGCCTGGGAGTATTCAGGGTAGCCTGGGAGATGGATGGGTCTGCAGGACAGAGAGAGGCAGGGGATTCTGAGGAAAACTGCAAGTAAGCCAGGGCCAAAGGGGAGTGGTAAGTAGAGACATTTGGATGTACAGCCAGAGCTGTTTTCCAGTGGAAAGGGCTCTGTTCTCAGAGGTGAGCAAGTAGAGGATGAAGAAGGGCTTTCTGCCACGGTGTGCTGTGCTGTGTCTGTTATTACAAGTCTAGCTGCAGGTCTGAGAACCTGTGCTGTGAATGCCTAAGTGTCTGCTTGCATCTGTGTGTGTATGAGCACATTCACCATGCTCAGGAGAGACAGCGCGAGATAGACGGCGAGGCTGTATGTACGGGCAATACGTGCAGAAAAATGCACAGCCAGGAAGTTCTTGCTGTGAAACCCTGGTCCCTCCGGCTGCCTTTCAAGAAAAAGAAGAAAAGAGATCTCTACTCAGTTGTGGCTGCTTTGGCTCCACCTTCTTCCCCGGTGCTCCAGAGTGCCTGTGCAGGGCGGAGAGCCAGAAGAGGTGGCGCAGGCACGCACCTGGCTGAGATTTGGGGGAGGTGACAGTCTCCACTGTCTGCAGATTTCCTGGTAGGAGAACCCAGCAGGCCTGAATGTATGCAGGGAGCTGTCTGCTAGGCTTCCCAGGGGCGGGCCCTGACCTCCCCACTTCCCAGGTCCACCCCAGCAGACGCATTCCTCTCTCCCCAGCAGGCTGAGGATTAGGGCGGGGAGCGTCTCCCTTTCACCTTGTCCCCTGCCTCCCTGGGAGGGGCTGAGAGATCAAATATCTGCCTGAAATCTCCCACTGCTCCCTCCCCTGGCCTGAGCCATTGACTGTCTCCTATGTACTTCAGCCCCAAGGGACACACCTTCCCTGGCATAAAGGGCACTCTGGTAACACTGTAGTTCAAATCACTCATGCACTCAGCATATACAGAGCACCTGCTGTATGCCTATGCCTGTGCTGGGAGCTGACTACATAGAAACAAGTAAGGAAAACAATACAACACAGGGTGAGATGGTGTTCAAAAAATGGAGACCTTGGGACAGGCGCAGTGGCTCATGCCTGTAATCCCAGCATTTTGGGAGGCCAAGGTGGGTCAGGAGTTCGAGACCAACCTGGCCAACAAGGCAAAACCCTGTCTCTACTAAAAATAACAAACATTAGCCAGGCGTGGTGGTGTGTGCCTGTAATCCCAGCTATTTAGCTACTCAGGAGGCTGCGGCACGAGAATTGCTTGAACCTGGGAGGCGGAGGTTGCAGTGAGCCACTTCACTACTGCACTCCAGCCTGGGTGAGAGAGCAAGACTCTGTCTCAAAAAAAAAAAAAAGAATATCTGTTTGGGAGCACAGAAGAGGACCCCTAGTTCAGTCTAGGGAGATTGGAAAGGCCCCTTGAGAAGGAGACTTTTGACCTGAGTCTCATGGGTCGTGTTCACCAGGAAGTCAAAGAGAAGGGTGCCCTGAGAGAGGCATAGCTCATAGAAAGCTGCAGGATTGAGCCAGCTTGCCAAAGCCCTGAGCCCTGAAAGAACAAGGGACCTGTCCGGGTGGGGCTTGAGGATGGTGGGGGTGGTGCCAGCTGGTGAGGATGAGGAGGGAAAAAAGGACCTTGGACTCAAGCCCAAGGGCCACGGCTGTGGGAGGCACCGGAAGCTATTCCCAGTGAGGGAGTGGGGTGATCAATGTGTATTATAGTAACCCCCACTTTTGCTGCATGGTGGCTCATGAGAAGGAGCTGGGGGCAGGAGATCAGAGAGGAGGCCAGTATCTGTCATGTCCTGGTGAGAGGAGGGTGGCATCCATCTGGACTAGGAGAGGGAGTGGGGAGCAGGGGTCTGATGGATGAGAGATGTCGGACAGAAAATCGCTGTGGTGATTTTAAGCAGGATGGGGAGGATCAAGGGTACTTTCGAGTCTCTGGCCAGGCAGTAGGGTAGATGGATACCCCTACTCTGCTGAGGGGAGTGAGTGAGCGAAAATGATCCTGAGCTCAGGGTAGTCTTGTTTGCCTTCGATTTACTCAAGGGAAGATGTAGGGTCTGTCTCTGCTGCTGACACGTTTTCTCTGTGCCTGGCACCTTACACATAAGAAGTCTCTTGGCTGGGCATGGTGGCTCACTCCTGTAATCCCAGCACTTTGGGAGGCTGAGGTGAGCAGATCATGAGGTCAGGAGTTCAAGACCAGCCTGGCCAATATGGTGAAACCCTGACTCTATTAAAAATACAAAAATTAGCCAGGCGTGGTGGTAGGCACCTGTATTCCCAGCTACTCAGGAGACTGAGGCAGAAGAATTGCTTGAACCCAGGAGGTGGAGGTTGCAGTGAGCTGAGATCCCACCACTGCACTCCAGCCTGGGCAACAGAGTGAGACTCTGTCTCAAAAAATAGTTAATAATATTAATAATAATAAAAAGAAGTCACTTAATCCTTACACAACTCTATGAGGTAGATACTATTACTATCCTCATTTACAGATGGGAAGACTGAGGCATAGAGTGGTTAAATAACATGCCCAGGGCCACATAGCTAGTCACGGGCCAACCAAAGGATGAACCTGGCTGGCCTCAGAATCCATGCTCTTAGCCTTGATGGTTGTCACAGGGAGATGGTGAATGAAGCCACGTTGCTAAATGAGATTACACAGAGAGAAGCAGAGGATGGGACCTCAGGGAAACGCTGACTACAAAGAGAAGAGGAAGCTACTGGTGAAGCCAG